GACGCGCGTTGAGGAGGTTAAATAACCGCGTGAGTTATGCTACACAATCATCATTGGTTTGAAAGGGGTTTCAGCGAGCGGTCTCCTGAGACTGGGACGCGTCATTATGTATTTGTTTGAGTTTGTTGGACGGATATTGCTATAAAGGCCAACCACTAAACAGGAGAACTGTTAGTGTTTTCAATAACAGTTTTCACTTCTAAAAAGAACCTAGCCCCTAGACTGTAGATCGATTATTCCTCCTACGTTTTGCTCACTGAGATGCTAACTCGAATTGAACCCCACTCTAAAAGACCACGCGATTGAACGTCCTCGGACATCTACTTTTTGGCCGTTTGGGTCTAATTATATATTCGACTTGATAAAAGCGGTTCTGTGGAACTTGCTGGGTTACAGAGATGCACAAACCATCATACCATGCAGTCGCTTCGTGAATACATTCTTCTCACGAGCCCGTACAAGGGAAATCATTTTTCAAACGAGAAATTCGTTGTTTATATGCCAAATGAAGCTTGAACTGAAAAGCTAGAAAGCACTGGACAGCTGTTTGGACCTTTTTGGGTCTCATCAGCCGTGCGAATTCATCGACCCAACTTAGGATCGAATCCAGGACTTCACAGGCAGAACGCAAGCATGCTACCCACTCGGCCACCGGACAGCTTATCAGGCCGTTTTTCATCTTCCATTTACACTATGTAGCACAACCCATCTCACATGAAATAAGTAGTCAGATTGTGAAAGTTTACAACCGAGTCATAACCCTGGAGACTAGTGTTGAGATGAGTGAGGTCTGTGGCCTGCATCAAGCTCACAAAGAAGGCCTTTAGGTTCCGTTTGTTGCGTTTCCTGTCCTTCAGTATTGGGCTTAAGTCTCATTCACCCAATTAGACAAAAAATTCCACAGGGCAGCACTTTATTGGCTGCAGACAACAGCTGTTCAGCTTAGTAGGAAGACTTCTCCCAATTTTCTTCACCTATCTCATTTTACTTCTCAGTTCTGAATGGATTCGAAACTGCGGCAGTCGAATCAAAAAATGTAACACATGTCAGATAATGGGATTTTTCAAAATGTATGGGCCGCTTTACTTCTTTTAGACCAAATAAAAGTGGTGTGTGATTATGAAAGAGGTAAGTGTATTTCCTTTGTCCGTTTTTGACAAAATTGATTGACCAACTATCCTACCCAGAATAAAACGCACGAGTCATTTGTGCTCATAGGAATGCACGTGATTTCTCGCAACACATCGTTGATTTCTCCATCTAATGATACCATTCTACATTCCCTGATTATTCTACTTCTATCCCACTTTCCAGAACGAGTGAGTTTATGCAGATTCCGGTTTCGTTTTGATGTATTTGTGCGCGTGTATGTGTATGTAGATTTGCTTGTATCTCGTTCTAACAATGGTTTTTCTCTCACACATCGGATTTTATTCTCTTGACCTACACCCAGTGTTGCTTTTTCATCACGGGCACTCACTACTATATGCGCCATTTTTCTACACCGGTCGTATTCCGTTATTTGAAACGAGTCCAGCGCTGTTAAACTTATTCTTGGGCCGTATTATGCCAGATTACATCGAGGTTACCTGTTTCATTTTCAAGTATCAATGCGATGCCATCTCTGTCTGTCCGCCTATGCGCGTGCTTTCGTCGTTCTGAGCGAGAGGTTACTTCTCTGTGAAACTGTTTATTGTTCGCACACTTCAAACTGTGATCATCCGCTAAAAGCAACTTCCTGTTTCACATCATGAGTTTGCACGAAGTTTCCGATCGATACATAGCAAAGAAGCTTGTAGTCCAAGATACTGCAATATTGCCTCAATGGCAGATCGACCAACGGTTTAAACCATTGTTACCAGCATACTCATGGTCCTAAGGTCCAAAGTTTGAATCCTACCACTACCACCCATCTTTGGTGGTATGCAGCTGTGCTATTCGACTTACGGCCTGGTCCATCCCGTCGTCACTCAGATAAACGTTTTTTATCTGCAACTCCTGCCGGTGGTAAACATCCAGTCAATAATTCATTTACCAGTCGGTTTTAATCATGATTTACAAACAATCGCTCTGTCTTTTTACGTGTTGCTGACCACGTCACCAGCTGCCTTAGAGATGAGGTATGAAAAAATGCACAGAGCCATTAGGTAGAGTAGGTGTCTCGTGCCCTCCAGGTTGGGGTCCAAATGACTCCGCAAATGGTCGGTTAGAGACATTGAAGGATATGGCCGCGAACCGACAGCGGTGGTGTTCTTGTTTTCATTTCTTATCAGGCCAGAATACTTGAAACGGCATTTATGCAGAGTCCGATTGTATGTTGACCATAGAGGTTCACCTTCTTCCTCCTCCCGTCGAAATAGATCCAATTCCTGCCCATCTTAAATATGACTGCTAACCTTGTTTACATTCCGAGTTTGCCAGCGATCAGTGAAGTTCGTATCTCTGCATTTCGCTGTACGATGATGTTGACTTCCACGTGGTTTCCTCAAGCCCGAAGCGGCTACAGATAATGAGACGCGGTGCGGCAGACGACAGCCGGAGAGATACTCATTACGTGCTGTCGCCAGCGAAGCCTAATCTCAATTCGATGAGCTAGAAATTGTATCCCTAATAAATTCCAGAGCATATGACGGCTTACCTCCAGATTACTAACCCGTTCGCTCCATCCCACGTGGGCTAAACTAAGTAAACACCGATAATCGAAATCTTTTAGTCGATGGATATCTACTCGCGAATTCAAGGCTTCACAACCATAAAACAGGAGTGAACGAACGGTAGCTCGAAATGCACGACTTTTCAACTTCAGTGAAACAATGCGTCTACGTCAAAAGTGTTCCAGTCCTGCGTATGGTGCTCGAGCCTTAGGAATGCGGGCGGTTATCTCCTTTACTGCACTATCTTCATTGGTCACGCAACTACCTAAGCAGGGAAAGCAATCCACCATAACTCATTCCTGGTCATTTAGCTTCAAAGCAGCATCGCTTTGCACTTTGAAGGTGCAAAGCACATATCGAATGTGGCAACAGCACTTGTTAGTCTGTCAAGTACGCGTCCGCCATACATTCGAACAGACAAACGATGTCATCGGCGAACCGTAAATCGCACATCGTTTCTTCAGCCGCTCATTCCGTACCTACATTTTAAAGGTCACTTGGTGCGTTCTCCGGAATTTCGTCTACGACGAAATTGAATGGGAATGGCGAAATAGGGCACCCTTTACAAACGACTTTGCTGTTGAAGAACGGCTCGAATCGGTCAATTTTAATCCAGCATTGTTGACACTCAGCAACCAAACCGTCAAAACCCAATAAAGTAATCCACGACAGGGTTCCATTTGGATGGGGTCACCGCAGTAAATTTCTGATTTTTTTAAATCCATTTGTTGATTCAAACGTGCGTGGTGAACGAATCTGTTCAAAGCTGGCTCCGTTGAAGTCTGATTTACAGTATAAACTGCAAACACCGTGGATCGCCGACATCATCGTTCTCGCCTTTCACATACTACACACACACACACGAACCTTTTGTTTGGCGCAAGTGTTTTACTCGAGTATGTACCAGATTAATTAGTGTTCTCCCCAAGCTCTAGCGCCCACATGAATATAAAAGGATTGCTTGATTGTTCCTCGGTGCTGGCCACACTTGTTTCACACAACTACGCACCTGTTGCTTTGCCGTCTTAACATTGTTACTTCTCGGTTCACACGTGTGGTTCTTCTTTTTCTTCTCGGTCTGTATTTTGTACTCCTGTGGTAATGTACTTTTGAAACTCCCCTTCATCGTTACCGTTGCCGTTTTCTCTATCTGTTGTTGGGTTGTGACCTCTGTGTGTATCTTCCGAGTATCATCTTATCAGATCCATTCTCATTTTTCTCTCTCTCTATCACTTGCTTCACTCCCCGATTGATCCGGATACTTTCGTCGACCTTCACATTCGCTTATTTCCTCCTCTTTCTACTGCTATGTGCAGATTGAGGGTTATTTAAATTTGTTTGCCAACGTGGTGGACAACTTCACCCATGGTGTGGCAATCGGAGGAAGTTATCTCGTCTCCTTACGGGTAAGCCGATCTTCTATCCTCTTCTGATTTGTTTGTAATGACATCTGTCTATGTGATTTTGTCGCATGCCAACACAAGACATGTTATCTCAGCTTAGAAGACCGTAATGGCTCTCTGTCGCTCAAATGTCACTGGTCCACTTGAGTATAGGCGCAGCTTTGTCATCACCCAGAACAGCATTAGCAGTATACCGTTAATGTTTCTGACTCTGGCGTAAATTGTCTATAGTTCTCTTATTCTTCATCGAATCTGAGCGGCATCTTCCTTAGTCAACGTCATTTGGTAGTGTTTAAGCGGTTTGAATGACTATGACTGGCGAACTGTGTGCTCCAAGGTCCTTCAGATTCAGATTAAACAACCATTAAGCATGCACTTCCGTGTATTGTTTTTGGTTGCTGTCCTTTGGCTACCCATTTGGGTGAATAATAGGAGGAAAACAGGAAGGTTGCAGTAAGACCGAAGAGAGAATTGAAAAGTTCAGTGGAGTAAGAAAGAAATTGAGAAAATGCACGAACACCACTGTTTATGACATCCAGCCATATCACTCAGTCTCTAACCATCGGGTACGGCCATCCCGAGGTCCCCATCCAGGGAGCCTAACGGGACCTAAGTGACCAAGACCCCTTGTTTAAGTTTTCATATCCTTCGAGGTCCTAGGTTAAAACGCTGCAATTGCTATCCAGCTTTGATGGCAGGGAGCTACATCGTCACTCGGCTCGATATCTCGCTTTATGTCGTTCGCTATTTGAGATCCCACCGTTTTCGCTACTGTCTATTCTATTCGAATAATGACCCCCGTGTATGCATTTTGAATGTGCTGCCTGACCTGTTGCACACTATCTCGACCGATGCATGAACTCTCAAAAAAGTCACCGTACAGACAGACAGTAAGAGCTCATATCGCGTGGTGTGCTAAGTTTCAGATCAGTTGTCTGATTTCTTAGTCAAGTAATAGTGTTCTTCCGAAGCTCAATGATTTTCTTATCCTCCATCCGAGGGTATCATCAAGACAAGTACGAATGATGCTGTCCCTGTCTGAGAACGTGCGAAATAAATCTACGTTGGTCGTATTATTCTCGAAGATTCAAATGCCCCTGGGACTCTCAGTAGACCGCTCCGGTCTCCGATGAATATAAACTTACAGCTATTGGCCTTGTGCTACTGTCAGACAGGTAAAATTCTAGTTAATCATCAACTACGTTCAGGATTTCCCATACGAACTTCCGTCGCTTGTGAAATCGTGATACAGCGTATTTTTGGCAACAGGTTTATCATAGAGTCAAAATGGTTCGCTCAGCGTACTTTTTGATGTTTGCTGTTAATACGGGAAAACTTGAAAAATATTGCTCCATCTTGGATTGCATGCTCAACATTTGCACATCATCAGCAGATATTCCGTAAATAAAACGGAATGGCTTTGTGTAACATTGGTCTGTATCAGCCCAGCTCAGATTACAATCCCACCGCTATCAGATCACTTTGTTCGCGAAAAGCTACTGTTGCTCACTCCTGTAAGGTCGCATTATTCCGATCGGAAAGATTATTTTCGTAGGGACTCTCAGTTACCTCGCTGGCACAGTACTACACATATTATATTCCGTTTATTGGGTTTAGGAGCCCATTTACTTTCATCCAACTATCGTGCTAGAGGACAAATCGACTCCACGGATCACAGTGATCCGTCAACCTCTTTGGTGAACACAAAGTGCACAACCCAACTGTGCATACATCCCTTTTCAAGCATTCTGACCTGATAAGAACTGACAACAAGAACACCACCACTGTTGGCCCGCAGCTATATCCTTCTATGTCTCGAACCACCCAGTTGCGGAGTCCTTTGAACCACAACCTGAAAGGCGGGAAACGCTATACCCTGTCGTGCTGTACATTTATTCGTGCAGTCCAGTTGCAACCTTGTTGAGTCTAAACGGCGGTTCGAATCTCTCAACCAACTGAGGATCGAATCCGAGAACTCTGGTAGGAGTTAGACACTACCTACTGGACCGCAGAGTAGCGAATCCGACCGTATTAATTTTTCTGTACGCGATGCAGCATGGCTCATTTCTTTCCTTCTTTTATTGAATATACAAATATACAATTTCTAGGAAGGGGAAGCGGCCAATCAAAGGGTTGCCATACAACATATAATGGGGAATGCGAACACACGTTGTCCGAGCTAATAATTTAGTGGTTACCACCGCTTATTACAAGATGTTTCAGTTATGATGCTCTTTTCGCCTACTAACACTTGATGTTGACCCCCGTCTCTTTGTTCCATCCACCTCCGAAACAGCTCGGTATCTTAACCACAATATGCATTTTGGTCCATGAAGTACCGCACGAGATGGGCGACTTTGTTATTCTATTACGTAACGGATTCACTCGGTGGCAAGCTGCTAAAGCGCAGGTGAGTACACTTAAAATTACCACATTACCAATCAGATATATTCATTTTTTCTTTGGGTTTCCCATTCCCTTTTTCTAATTCATTAGCTAAAGTATTTGGCAGACAAGCCACAGTTTTATGCGTCGTCTGTTCCACTATCGGCTGTTTGTTTCATACTGCACAGATTATTTGATTCTAAAACCTTAATGTGAATGTTTGTTTCGCACAAACTTAGTCCCAAAATGTTCGCAACTTGTTTTACTGCCATCAAAATTGACGGATAAATTAGTAGCAATCGATTGTTTAGGCATCTTCCCACTGGTTGATTGGTTAGTTTAAGTTCAATCGCTTGTTGTTTGTTTTGCTGACAGAGTTGATTCTAAGAGTGCTGGTTTGACCCCAGTTTACTACTGCCATTAATGTTACCAAAATAAAAGTATGTGATTCAGTTTCTGTTTAAGTGTTTTGAAATTTCTAATGTGGTAACCTTAATTCCACATTGTCTACTTGTATCACGTATTTGTGACTTTTCCACCTTTTCAGCAATCTGCCCCTATGTGAAGAGCAATCATTTTCATGGATAAATCCATGAAATTTAGAACAAAATAGCATCCCCGGTTCCTCTCTACCTCTTTCTTCGAGGATATGCTTCTAGCTGAAAGCATAGCTTCTAGTGGTAGGGTGTTGCAAAGAAATTATTCGGTAGCAGACCAGACTCGCACTTCACGATGCTTTGTACAGTCATTTGTTGCTTTCCATTTGAGAGAGGTCGCTTGCTAGGTGAAAATCCGAAAGTTCATCGATCATTCGCGATTGTTTATTCAATGAAACAAAACATATTCACGGATAACTGCCTAAGGAACCATTACCTTTTCGCGATGTGCATACGCGGTCGCTTGCACGCAGGTCGCCTGGTC